AACCATGGCATTGACTTTGAGAGGTGAATGGGAAAAAGAATTGTAAAATTCAGTGCCCTTTCTTGCTGTGTAACTAAGTGGGCTATCTTGGTGCAGCACCAGATAGTATCCAGAACATACAGGATCAAATTGAATGTAGTGTGTGCACCTTCTTGTCTTTATAAAATTTTTCATTCTGTTCATTTTTCAAAAAATCAGTAAAATTGGATAGGGAGTTCTGCCTAAATACATTGTCAGTACCTGAGATTATTACTTTAATTCTTTAGTTAATGTTTTTTCATATGTAATTTCCACTAAAGAACTATTTCTTTTTTTTTTTTATCAGATTCATAGGTGTGTATATAGAGATTATTATAGTTGTCACTGAAATGGAATGGATGTTGGTAGTTTTAATTTTTTTTTTTTTTAAATCCCGAATGTAAGGCTTTTCATCCAAATTAATCCTTTGTGTATTGAAGGGAAACTATTGAATTGACAATCACAAAGAAAACGTTCAAATCTTGGGTGTGTACTGTTAGTCACTTTAATTCAAAGGTTCGATGATAAAAGTTCTTAAAGAATTTTTGTTCTATCAGTTCCATTATCTTTGTTCATTGCAGTTACTTAAAAAATTTTTGAATGTGGTTTTTAGTGGCTAATTTAAGTCTTTGGCCCATTTCTGTGAAATATTATGCCTAGTAATAACATTTTTAATTATTAAATGCTTCTTTGTGTAACCTGTCATCCTTTGAGAGGCCCAGTGTAGTTCTGACAGTTGGCTGATAATGAAAGGTAAACTGACTCAAGTTTTCTTGCTGTTACTGAGAACTTGAATTTCCATCACAAATATTTCAGAGGAGTATTTAAGCTGAAGTTCTCTTTTGTTTACAGCAATACAAATGCACTATTTAATATTTCTGTTTTATCACGTTTTACAAAATGCTATTATTTCTTTTTAGAGTAGGACTTGAAATTAGGAACTGAAGTCACTTATAAGAACTCTTGCAGAGATTGTACTGGTTAGTGTTTCACAGCTGCAGGTCTTTAAAGGTAACACAAACAATGAAGAACGTATTCAGGATGCCCGGAAGAAACACTGCAAAATTTTTAGAAGTTACATAGGAAATTTACAATCAAAACGTATTTTGTTGCCACAGAATTTTGTTTCAATATTTTGCCAATCCCCTTTATCCTGCCATACATTTTTTGTAGGCTTTGACATTTGTGTGAATTCTGCATGAGATGTTCATCACTGTAAGACCATTACAATGATACTATGATGAGGCAGACTGCAAGGCCTACAGATTGGAAATTTTAATCCAGAACAAAACTGTGAAATGCGTTTTTTTTGAGATAGAAGCATATTTACAAAGTTTCTCCATTAGTTCTTTATTTTTCTGTATAGGCGTGGTGCCTGTATGAGTGCGGGGTTTCTACAAAACCTATATTCCTTACTTTGGTGTCACAGTAGCAGGTTGTTGCAGCTACTGCATTAGTTTATGTGGACCAATATAAAAGATTTCTTAAAGTCTGCTCAGAACTTTATCAAAGTTCACCAAAATATACTTAAATGTCAGTGATCTGTGTGCTTTCATTGTGGGGTGGGAGCAAAGAGAGGGAATAGAAATTGCACTTGTTTTTTTTGTTGCAGGATCTAATTGTTCATATAACTTAATTTTTGTTTTTCTAGTGTTTTCCTGCAAGCTGGTGTTTCACAGTCCTAGAATCAATATAGCTTCAGAGGACCTTGCTGAAGGGTTTTTTCATTACTTGTGGAGTTAGTTTTTCCTTTGTCTTTCCAGAATGACATTTACAGCTTGAGGAGCCCATAATATAAGGGATACTCTACAGCAAACATTTAACAGAGCTTTAGATTAGGTACGCTGGCACTGAAAGTGCAGGAACAAGGAGTCAGAAGCACGTGTTAAACCATGATAGCCAGTTAGACTGTGACCCATCAAAATTTCTTAGTAAGGTCCCCCAGGTACCATTCTCTTTGGAACAACCATTTCTTTGTGTATTTCTGCATGTGGGTTGATTTTTGAAAGGAGGAGAAAGAAAAGAAGGTTAAGTCGTGTGTGGAGCTCAACATAGTATCATCTCTTGAAACTTGATGCCTGGAAGTGGAGCCTCTGGGGCATTTGTTGGTGGTTTGCAGGGCCTTCTTGCTTCAGAGGTGAAAGGCGGTGGAAGTGTGTTAGCATTTGGTGAAAAAGTTTTCCTGATTCTTAGCCTGCTCCCATTTAGGAATTTTGTGTGTTTAAAAATGTTGACTATTTTGTCAGTTCTACTTTGCTATGTAGGTAATTCTTGTGGCAGCCACTTCTTGTTGTGTGAATGTGGGCTCTGGAGTGGGAACAGGATGGAAGCAGTCGGAGTTTGTAATCTCATCACCCTGTTTCTAAGTCCAGCATTGCATAAACATTATTTTTTTTGTATTTTGGGATTGACTGCTTTCAAATATGAAATTATTTAGTCACTGAATTGTACTCTGGATCAAGAAAGCTGTATATAGTATTGCTTTAGCCATTCAATAGCAACTTTGTAATAGCGGTGTTTATTTTTTGGATACTGGCCTTTACAAAGTTGTGTCAAGGATCCTCCTGTATTGGCAGCAGAACCATGGACTTCTTATTCTGCCTGGGTGTTATGGAGATTATCACAAAAAGCATTCAGAAATGCATTGCCTGGGATTTCTGCAATAGCTTTGATTCTTGTACTTTTAGTTTGCTAGGGAGAGAGGGTGGAAGAGCAGTGTGTAAGATCAGAATTAGGCACAGATTATCTGCCTAATATGGTTCTTGTTAGCACAAATAATATGAATACCTCTTGGAGGACAAACAAATTATATAAAAAGAAATGAAAACATCCAGATCCTGAGCATTTGGAAAGCATGACGCTGATGTATTTGTGTAACCTTTTCATGAAGAGTGATGCTGAAGTCAAAGAGGGGATTTTTATTTCCTTCATTAAAAGCTTATTAAACGAAGAAATAGGACAGTCGTTGTTTTGCTTCAATAGTTGACGGTCACAGAGGCAGGCCTGGTCTCCTCAGGATATTAATGCCTGCTTTCAGCTGGGGGAAATGAGCCGTTGCTTGAGTTAGCTGCAGCTTTATGTGCTCGTCACTAGGGATCCTCATATGTCCTGGGATGTACGGCAGTTGGAAATGGCAGAGCTCGGCAGCAGGGAGCAGAGGGCTCTCATTACTATTCCTAACAGGTAACTTGGCTCAATCTGCCCAGAGCAAGTCTGTTTAATGTTGATCAGCTGTCCATCTGATAAACCGAATTGATATGGACATATCCTCCAAGGGCTGCCCCGACAATGACAGGAGAATCAGGATGTCTTGTTAGTCTTTTTCTTGGAGCTTGAAATTTTATTAACCCTTTGTTAGAGCTGAGGCAAGTGTGATTACAGTACTGCAGCTGGGTTGTGTGAGTTTCTCCCTCACCTCTTTGAAAAGCAGCATCAACCTTCAGTTTTATTGTCTACATGGAGAATGCCTAGCTGTTTGGTTTTTGGATTCTTTTTCTTTCTGTGGAGCCAAAAATTGTGAATTATACAGGCAGCTTTGAAAACAGCTTAGGTTTTTTTGTGCATGACAAAATACATCGGGAACCTCTATTTATCCTCTCTCCCAAGCTCATCTGCGTTTTGCATGCCTGCCCAGGCCATGTGACTCTCCTGGCTCTTCTCTCTTGCTAATTGGCACAGATCACTGGCCTGAAACAGTTGCTGCTGGGGCTCTTCACAGGTCACATATATTTGGGGCAGCAGGTTACTTTAGATTAATATGGTGTGGGGCAGTTGCAACACATCTTCACTGTCCAGAGGAAACAGAATTAATTTACTTGGTATTATGTCAGTACTGAGGCAGAATCTAACCTGAGCATGTATCAGCAGGTATATGCATATGTGAAGGTTAGGAGCAGTTTGGTTACTCAGTGAATCAGTGCTAGGCCACTTTTGAATAAGCACAGGAAGCATAACATACCTTTGTTCTATGTTATAATTATTTGGAACTGCCTTTAGTCATCTGTTTAGTTGAGGGCATGGATTGCGTTTTTGCTCATATGTGAAGTCTCCATGGCATAAAGGGAACTGCTTGAGTCAGAAAACATGTGAATATGCTGCAGATTTCATAAGGGGGAGGTCCTGTGTGTATCTAGGTTTGCAGTGTTAAAAGGATGCTCCAGTGCATGGCTCTGTTCCCCTCTCTCCTTGTCCCTGCTCAGTTATGTCAGTTCAACACCTCATTGTAGTTCTGAGCTAAGGTCACATCTCTGGGCTCCTTGGAGTGACAGTCACTAACTGTCTGGGGCTACAGGATTTGACTGTGGGAGGAGAGGGCTGTGCTAATGACTCTTTTCATGCCTTTTCCAAAAAATCAAAATAGAGGGCAAGCCTCTATGGAATAAGCTCTGTGGAAAGCCTCTCACAGGGATTTGATGGACAGTTGCTTTAGCTGCTTTTGACTGAAACAATCAGTGAAAAATCACTAGTACATGGTTCTAAAATGTTCAACTGTTTTTCTTCTGCCTGCACTCTTCCCCCTTGGTCATATTGAACTGCAAGGTATCCTATTATTAATTAAATGCTAATTTGAGCAGTCATTGGGTGCAGCATTCTTATGGTGTTCATATTGGCTTGCTTGCACTTCCCCTGCTGATACATCCTTTGTTCCTTCCCATCAGTACTTTCTGCTTGGCATTTTCATCATGTCAGTGTCCCTCAAGCTTCTGGTACACAAAACAAAAGAAGAAAGCACCATGAGGACTATATGGATTATTTTGCTTTATTTTGTGAAAGAATTCAAACAGAGGGTAGCTGCTTACGTGGAAGTACTTAGTGACAGTTCTCTATGCTAAACACCTCCCAGTTGTGGCTTCTAGCAGTACATAGAAGAGCTACACAATTCATAAAATATCTGTTTAGTACATGTGGTTGTTTGTCCATTTTCATTAAGAATCTCTATTCATAGCATCAAAATAATTGTTCTTTTTCTTTCTTTCTTTCAGTCAAAGAAGTCTGGCTGAGATTACGGAGCTGATCCACACTGCTTTTCTGGTGCATCGTGGCATAGTAAACATTGGTGAGCTCAAGTCCTGTGACGGCCCGCTGAAGGATATGCAGTTTGGAAATAAAATGGCTGTTTTGAGTGGAGATTTTCTCCTAGCAAATGCTTGCACGAGCCTTGCGCAGTTGCAGAACACCAAGGTAAAAAGAAAAAGATTTTACTGCCAGAGCAAGTAACTAACTATGAGTGAATCTTTTGAAAGAGAGGCCCTTTTAAAAAATCAGCAGTTATGTATGTATATATGGAGCATCATTTAAAAATCAGCATACTTACAATATAGCTGTAGATGGATTGACAGGCTGCTGCTGCTGCTGCTGTGAACATGTTTACCGCTCCCCTATAGAATTACTGTGATGAGATCTTTAGTACACATTCTGAAGCACTGTAGTGATTGGTGAGTGGCTACTTTGGTGAATTGAAGGTACACGCAGTGGCATCTTTGACATATCAGGCTACAACGCCACTGGCAAACTGCCAGCTGAAGACATGTTTGGTCTGTTATTTTCTTTTACCTTGTGCTTTGTGAAAAGTTTGCTGTCTCAGAGAATTCTTGAGGGAAAAGGCTTTATTGCTTTGTCTCAGGTGATTTTTTGCTCTTAATAAAATTACTTTGTTAGGCATTTGGATGTCCCTGCATACTGGACTGCCCTATTACTGTATATGTACTGGCTTCTAAAGGACAGCTGCAATCCAGCTGCTCATACAAACTGTTTGAAACTTTACAGGGAGATGTTTTTAATGAGAAACAAATTGTATATATGTATTGTCTTAGAAAATGAGACTGATGGAGACATTAAGAGATCATCTCTCTAGTCAGTTCTTCTTTTTACCAGGTATGATGAGCTACTCTAAACCATTCTTGACATGCATTTGTCTTGCTTGTTCTTAAAACCTCCCATGGTGGAGAAAATCCTGGGCATCTCTGTGCAAGTCTAGTGTGGCTAGACTAACATGCATGGTTGAAGAGCTTCGTGTGCCATTCTGTTGGAAACAGGAAACAGTACTTTTTTGCAGAGGTACTTTTTATACATTTGAAGGTTGCTGCCATATCATAATGTAAAATAAATGTTTGTCCTGTGCAACTGTCAATAATCAGCATAGTTGTAATCATGAGTTTAAGGAGTCTATTTTTTTTAGATTCTTATGCTAAGTCTCCTCATGGTGGTATTTGAGTATTTCTGCACTCCTTTGATCATAAGTGTGACAGTTTCTCTCAGAAGTGGTGTCATTTTCTGACACAGAGCTGAGATTCAAGAGAAGAGACAGAAAATTAGATGTCGGTCTACTGGAATAGTGGGTTAAGCCATTATGGTGTTAACTGGTAGTAAGTACTAAAAAAAATAGTTTTAAATAGTACGTACCATAACCAAAATGGGGTGCAGTTGATTTTACTAATTATTATTGATTTGTATAAATACTTTTTTTTTAGTACTTTGTAGGATTGTCAAGAGAGACCAAAGGATTTAACCCTACATCAATTTTTTGTTTCAACATAAGAGGAAACTTTTATAAAACATAGCACCTATTACTTTGCATTTAGTACATCAGTGAGTACTGCAGCAGGAATGTATTATCCCTGAAGACTTGCCAGGAAGTAAGCCTACAGTCAAATGAAGCACAAGAAATAATTTTTTTTTAAAAGCAATCATTATACTGCATGTTGGAAAATTCTGCCAAAACATTTTAGCACTTTTTTTCATTTTTCTGACATCTTAATACTTTTGTAGCTTCTACATACGATAAGTGGGATGCCATAATGGAAACTGATTGACTTAGTAAATGATTCTTTTTCATATGTCTAACCCTACTAGCAATGTAAGAAAAATTGAAGTACAAGCTATAGAAATCTCTTGACAGGTGCAATGATTTAAACATACTGTATTTATTCTTTTGTAAATGATGAATTTTCGAATCTGGCATCTGTTTTTTAGCAGTGTGAAATAACTGTGACTTCTTTCCTTCATAATGTTTTGTGTTCTGTGATGTAAAAGGTAAAAATCACAGTACTGCTTTTTTTGCTGGCATTTAGCAAATTGGCTAATGAAATGAGCAGCATTGTATCGTACATGGTAGTGACCATGGTATGCTATAACCTCCATAGACATGCATAGCTGTTCTATAGACCAGAATTTGAATTAAAACGGGTTTTAACATTAACTGAACTCACTGCTACCAAGATAATTTTATTGTGCTGTTAAACTTGTCTGAGCTTGTGTATGATGCATTTATCTCTGTGCTTCTCTCGGGGCTGACAATTAGACATGAAATTCTGTAGTCGTAATGAAATGCAGAGCTATTTTATAATTGCCAAGGGTAAAATTAGCAAAGTCAATTATTTTCCCTTAGGCTTTTCCCTGTAGATATTAAAAGGCTGCAAGGTAATTGCCTTAGGTAACACTTTGATTTTTAAATAACATTAAATATAGGAATTGTTGTTGTTAATTCGTAGTAATTTTCCTCTTCTTGCTACTGTTGTGGATTATAACTGTAATGATATTAACAAGAATCAAGGCTCAGGGTTTGTGGTTTTGGGGGTTTTCTTTTAAACTAGTACCCGTACCTCTCATATGTTTGCTAAAGTTATGCAAAGAAGGGTTTGGGGTGGTCTTTTGGGCTTTATGTTTTTTAATCTCTGAGGTACAAGGACTCTAGATTTCTTGAAATGTCAGTTAGGAAGACTCCTGTAAGATAAATTCTTATTTATCTTTATCTTTTGGATACATAACAATTCGGAGGAAAGGATTCTTATTTTCTACTTTGTGAAGTTATGATACATTAATTATGAATACAAAGTTGGTGTCAACTGAGACTTAAAGTAATGACGGGCAGATGCATCTGCATACTATGCTTTTGTAATCATGGCAAAGTTCTACATTTATTCAGGTAATAAAAACTTTTGAAAATGAACAGTAATTTCTTCAAAAACCTTACGGCTGCAAAGCATTAGACTGATCAGGTCACATGTATTTACAATTCTTTTGTACATTCATGATAACTTTTTGATCACCTTATATAAACTAACATTTGGATGGTGGCTCTTCTTGGCCTGTGGATTGTGGTGATAAATTATGTTATTGAAAATTATGTGGGTAAAACCTTACTTCAGAACTGCATCCTGTAGTAGATTGAAGATTTCTAATCCATGGATTTTAGAACAGAGTTGAGCCTAAAGATGAATTGGGTTGGGATCTTGTAGAAGTTGGTATATCAGCAGTGGAAGGCGGAGCCTTTGACAAGGAAAGGCTTGTTTGTGTTTTGCTACTTAACTAACAATGCCGTAATGTGTGGTAGTGTGATGATTTGTTGGAGTGTGTTTATATGGGATGACAAAGTTATTTTGGTAGGCCTTCTCATTTTGAGGTTGCAGTGTTCTGATAATAGGATCATGATAAGATATTTGTGAAAGTCATTGTAAACGTGTAGGCGTGGAAGTGACGGAAGAGTAAATTATGTTTGCCTAACAAAATAGGGTACCTCCCAGCTATCTTGTGGGATATGTGAACATAAGCAGTTTTAAATGAATGTGTGAATAAATTATTAAGAAGTGTAAAATGATATGTCTAACGGTTGGTTCTTTGTTGCCATCTGAAGGTAATATATCTTAACATTTGTAATCTTGCTTTGCCTAACCAAGGATATGGGCATGAAGCTGCTAAGAGCAAATTTTTTGAATGAAAGTCCTTCTTTGGCTCTGGTAGCAAAAAGTGTTAGTTTTGTCTTTGATTTCTGCTTGAGTAACCTTCACTTCTTGTAATATTTTTAGACTGGCTTTCAGATGCAAACATAGCAAAAGTAACAAATATTAATTGGCATTTTTGTCACCTGTCAGCCAAATGTGCAATACGGACATTTTACCACAGTGATGTGTGCATAGTGACCGTGGTATTATCAAGTAATGTGCTTTTTCAGGGTTTATAATAGATAAGTTGGAAAAAATCTGTTGCAGCATTAAAGCTGGTGCTTCCTAGCACACCTGAATCATTAATTGTCTTATGAAACTATAGAGAGGATGCTTAAAAGATGTAATTATGTTTTGATGCTTTCACACTCTGAAGACAGTGATGCATAGAACTTTCAGAAGGCTGAAATAATGCATTTTAGTACAGTGCCTAGAAAATAATAAAATAATCTGTAAATGCATTACTTTCAACTCCAGAAACTGATAAGAAGGCATCCCTTTGTATTTAAAGAAAGAAAACACACATACCAGCCAAACAACCAAAATAAAACCATAAAAACTCAGCATATCCAAAACAAAAAATAAAACCCCCCAAAAGAAGAAGAAAAAGCCTAGCCCAAAGACCTGAAATACATGTAGCAGTAGTGTTCTCCATAGTGCTTACTGAAATCTTAAGAACTGACTATTTTTCCCACCATAATTCAGTGAGGTCTGGTTGAAATAATTAAACTCTTCATGGAAACCCTTCAAAATCTACAGCCTGAAAGCTTAGAATTGAATTTAAAAATCTTGTCTGCCAATGCAGAGCTGACAGAAGACCACATTATAGAGCATTGTTTCATTAAGTATTATTTTTTTATAAATAAACAGTAGCACAGATGTAGTACTTATATAGTGGGTGCATTTCCTTATGTTAAGTTTATGTATTCCTAAAGGCATAAATGTGTTGTTTACAAAATAAGCCTTTTGTTTGCATAAACATCAATAAGCTAGTCATTTGAGTCTTCTTATATCTTCCTATTGCAACAATCTAAACGTACATTGAACTTTGTATAAGAACTACTTATCTTGAACTGTGGTTACAACCTTCAATTTTTTTAGTAGAAAACAGAATAAGGAGCTTTTCTGAAGCACTTTATTGTGTCTGTCTTACGGTACCTTCCTCTGAGGCACTGTTTGATGATGATGTATTGGACAAGATGGGGAGTAGGATAGTATCTCTACTGATGAGTATTTTTATTTTAATTTAGTATTTTAGAGTGCCACAGGGGCATGTCTCAAAACCAGACATTACTGAAAAGTACAGATAAGTTTAAAGAGCTCTGAACTAATTTATGGAAAAGTACACTTAAGAAACACTGCTTTGTCTGGATACCGGGGGAGAAGAAAACCAAGGAAGAAATCCTATGTTTTTGAGCCTTTAACCTAATATGCGATGACATAAGGCAACATGATTGAATT